TGGCGATCTGTACGCACAAGTTATTGGTGATGGCATGGCTGTGATCCCAGAAGTTCTGCCAACGACGGAGGAAGTGAAGATCGAGGATATTCATCTAGTTCCTGACGCAAGTCTGCCTGTGGAAGTGGAAAAACTACGCCAGGAGATCTGGAATAGTCGACATCTACCAATCCGCAAAGCGTTGTCGCCTGCTGCACGGGGGGTTAGGTGTGATATCGATGTCGGTGACGCGAACTAGCACCCTAATTTCGTGAAGAGTTGTCAGATCTGATTAAAGAGCTACAGCGAGCCGAGATCATCAGCTTCTTGACGTCACTGTGGACATTCTCGATCGTGATCATCGTCAAGAAGAATGGAGTAGACATCCAACTGTGTATTTTGATTACCGACTGGTTTATAGTCTGACAAGTTTGATGATGTACCCTATGCCTCTATCCTTCGGTACTTGAGGACCTAGGTAGTCTACCTTGCGCATTCCCCAATGTCTTTTCACCACACTGATCGAGAGAATCCGTTTATTGCACGCCTCCAGTAGAGCCTTCACTGTCGCGCAGTTTGCACAGCTGATCCCACGACTCTGCTCGGGTTAGGACATCGTCGATGTAGAATCTACGTCCTAGCACCGACGGTGTAGCAGGATCTTCTGGTTCGCCTGCTTCAAACGGGTCGCCATTGTCTGGATCCTCATCAGATCTTGGGATCATATGGTGCATTGTCGACTAGCTGTTGGAAGATCTGAGGTGCATTCTTCAATCCGAAAGGCAACCAATTCCACTCGGAGAGCCCGAACGTAGTGATAAAAGCCGAGATCGCACGAGCCGAATCCGCCATATTCACCACCCAGAATCCACTGCCATGTCCAACTAACAATACCGGAGTGACTTATCGAGATCTTCCAAGGTCGTTGATCAGCTAGAGGCGAATCCAAAGGATCTAGCTGCGCTGACAGGTCTAGTCTTCCCAGGGTAGCTCCGAGCAAGCAATCATTTCTGGGGATTTTGAATTATTACAGCCGATTCATCGAGGCCTACTCGATCTTGCGATTGTTATCTATGGGATACGAGAGGTGGGCTTTGCTGTGATGGCCAAATCCGACCTTCGGACCTAAATCAAGCAAGTTCTGGCCTCGGAGGCCCCGGAACAAGTGGAGCTGGATCGGGATCCAGATTGTAAACACCCGGAGGTGGACCTGTCTAATCCAGACAAATAG